ACGTCCATCTTTTCCTTATCCTCTGCCGTCTCAAACACAAATGTATCATATACTTCAATGGCCTGTGGCCCTGCAAGGGTTAGCAAAAGCGCTACCTTTCTTGAATCCGGCTTTGTATCCAGCCCCATGGCCGTAACATACAAGCTAAAGCGTTGCTTGAATGTACGCCAGTTTTCGTCGACGTTGCCCGTCAGCTTCAGGATCTCTGGCGGTTTCAAATCCATGTTGGCTTCTCAGTTTACTCCTGGTACCATGTCGTGTTCGTGCTGTTGATAATGGAGGAGTCTTGCTTTTGTCTTAGTGTACTTTTATTTATTAAACACTGCAGCCCTACTTTCGGCTATCCTAGCCGTAGGCTACAGGTTCTTCTTCAGTTCTTATCTAGCTGCCACCTAACAATACTAACACCACAGCGACTCCTAGTGGTAACACTTATCATAACAGCAATCTGGGGACATTTCCAGCTCATAGGTTAAATGAATACATATCATCAAAATAAAAAAATGAGACGGGGACATTGGTGCTTTCATCCATTTTTAGATTTTTATTAATATTTAAAAAACAATAATCATGTTTAAAATCCAGAAAGGTGCCTATTTCCTAACATTAATAAAATTAATCAATCGATAGTGTTTATTAGTGCCATCTGGTCATTCATTCATTCTACCAGTCTTCTAATCTTTCTCTTCTATCAGTCTTACACTAATCTAAAATATAGATAATACAATCAAAATCCCTTCCAAACACATATAATCTCATCATACATACTATGATTAATATGATGATGGTGATTATTATTGTTGTTGTTCTCCCACCTGATTAAATGCTAAAGAGGCTTATCACCCAGATTTTTGGAGCTACAAGTAAAAACACCCTAATAAATGATCTTTAAACAGGTGGTTATCTCTTCCTCCATCTTTTTCTCATCATGCAGATCTTGTCTTATTCAGTTTTGCTTTTACTGCCTATTATTTTTTGTTCTGATAAACTTTCATATAACCAAATAGAGTGGTGGAAAAGTAGACCTAAGCCTGGAAGTCTATGCTCATAAATCACAACCATAAAACAGCAAAACAACTTATAACTGCTTACAATAACTAACTATTTGAAGCAATAAAATGAAGTTCATTAATCTTTTCTACAAACATCTTTAGATGAACCCTTGTTGATCCGAGGAGAACCACCAAACCAGATTAGCGCCTTACAAGGAGTTTTCCGTCATTCTGTTTAATTTTATCTGAGTCTCTTTAACTCATGCCAGCTGTAGCCAATGGTCTGTCTTACTTTTTGTTGATAGGCTTGGTTTATTTTACATTTCCAGGCCTCATCTTTAGAAAACCAAAACACATCAAAGCCCTTTTCATTAATCTGGTCACAAACCCAACATTTATGTCAATGATCAGCCCAAGTCAAATCAAATGAACTGATTAACCAGCTTTCTTTATTGTCCGACTCTGATTCGCTCAGACGAGGAAGTCCGACTGAATCAGAGCTGCGTCTGAAGAAAACAGCGGTCTCTTTTTTTCAGGACTTTTCCAAAAAATGGTGCTCTCCCCAAGGCGATTCAATGTTGTTCATAGAGACCAATTTAGCAGCAGTCAGTGAAGCACCTGTGCATTTATTCTGAAATGTCAACTGACTTTGAGACTTTGACAGGAGATGACATATGGTGATTTACTAACTATTAAATGATCATTCCATCCACTAAATGAGGTAAACATGTCCGCTGTTATATTCATTACCAGCACAGGAATGATATGTGATGTTTTGCTTTATATCAGGAACAAGTGCAGCACTAAAGTCTGCTGGAATGGTGATGGACCGGTGATGTCATTGGCCGTAGTAAAAAAAGATGCAATAATAAAAACCAATTCATCACAAACAACAGTTTTACCTGTACCAATGATGTAGCACTGAAAATTAAGCTGGATTATTTTAAATCAATTAAGAGCTTAATAGGGGATAGTAGATCTCTGGGTGGCGAAAAAAAATCTTTAATATCTCTGAAACAAAGGGTAGCACACACCTTTTTTTCAATGTTTTAATTTTTACAAAGGGTCCAAGGTGTAAACACTCTGCATCTGAAATGCAGGGCGGTGAACTATCTGCGGATCTCACCATAATCCCCACGTTCAACGTCTTCGGTCTGAAAGCAGCATTAGAATTAGTCTCGGTTTCATGGGGTGGAGTTTTTCTGCTGTCCTCTAGGAGTCTTTTATATAATTATATATAAACCGCTCAACCCATTTAATGTGTACATTACTTAGAACCACAAACTCATTTAAACAGCAGAAATGTATAAATATATTCATATTGCTATAAAAAAATAAAATATTAATTAGCATCTTAAAGAGGCACAGATATATATTATCTTAAGAAGAAATATTAAAGGTATTAACATTATGAGATATCCTGCTGTCTGCTTCTGAGTTCCTTGAACTCCTGAACTGCTTACATCTCACAAATGTCACAGTACATACCCGTCACAATAACACATATACCCGTTCTGCAATCTTAGTGAGGACCATGTATTTACTCCCATTGATTTTCAGTCATTTTCAATTTCATGCCCTAACCCTAAAACTAACCCTAAACCTAACCGTTACCAATGCATACCTCACTTTAACCCTAGCCCTAACCATTTGGCACCTTAGCCTTAAACCTAACCATTAGCATGTGGGGACCAGCAAAATGTTTGCAACAACTGGTCCTCAATTTGATGGTGAAATTGGAAAAAATGGTCCTCACTCTAAGGGCTAGACAGGTACACACACACACACACACATTACACACACACACAGACACACTGCCATGCTCTAGATTTAGTCATAACAGAGACCTCCCCATCACCCAAATGAAAGCATATGACTTGGGCGTTCCTGACCATGAGGTTATCTCCCTGGATCTGCACCTAGCAGGTCCCTACCATATAATAAGTGTAACTCTCACACAATAAATGCCCAAAACTTGAAGCCTATATAGAAGCAGTATTATCTATAGCTATTGCTGGTCGTAGAACAAACTGGATCATCTGTTGATGGAGGACTCCAATTACCTGCAAGGAAAGATCATACATTTAACAAATTAACTTAAAGATTTCCCTAATGATATTTGCCAAACAAGGCTAAAAAGTAAGTTTTTAAGACGAATCTCTTAATGTGAAAAAAAAAAACATTTCAGAGCAGAGATTAAAGATTATAGCACTGACAGTGTAAGCAAAGAAAATTATTACCTGACCTTCATCTTGCTCTGTAATTCTGTGGTTTCACATTAGCGTAATGAATGATGAGGCCTCTCTATGAAATTGTACAATGAATACATAGAAAACATAAATTAATGTTAAAAATATCTTCAGAAAATGAATTGACTACCTAAAAATTTTTAATTGTTTACATTTGTTGCTAAATAAAAGTCTGGGATTCATTTGTATTTAAAATATTTCAGAATTTAATCTCAGCTATTTATAATCCGTCTTCTTAATCAACAACATCTCTATATTAAAATATATACTGTACCTCCTCCAGCAGCTCTGTGGGTTTGGATTGTCTCATAGACTGAAGAGGTCGCTAGAAAATAAAAAAAATAAATTTCCATTAAAGAAGCTCATGGTTATGATATAAATGTATTTTTTCATGTTCCTCAGCATAAGCAGAATATTGCTCAATAAATCCTGATAGAATGATGAAATTCAGCAAAAAAGGATTCAGGGATCCGTTTCACAAAGCAGGTTTAACAAACTCAGATTCAAATCTGCAACTCTAAATTGATCTAGCCTAAAGTCAGGAACTCTGAGTTTTTTATGTCACAACGGCTGCTATCGATTAGTTCGATCCACTTCAATCACTCAAGAGTCCAGAGTTTAGCACGTGCGCAACAAGTAGGTAAAGCCATTATGAGTGGAGCACAGATTCAATGAGTCACCATGACAACAGGCAACAGGAAGTGCCTATTTCACCCCACTGGAACTAGAAATTTTATTGAAAAATAAGACAGAGAAACAACGTTACCGCTGCAAAGGCAAAGAAGATAGTTGCTCAAGTTAGAGCGTAAGATTATATGAAGTGGGCTATACTGTATGGCAGGCTGTTTCTACATTTATTAAATGCATTTGTAGATTTCCATTTGTAGATCACTAAAATAAGATTCTTCCTGATAAATATCACATTCCTAGACTGAATTGTAATAATATATTTCCCAAATTACATTTTTTTTAGCAGACACTGAAGCTAAGAAAGTAAAAAACAAAATTGTACCAGTAAGAAATTAAGTTTTATATATCTAGAAATGTTTACACATTTTATGTGCCCGTTCTGACATTTATCAGCTTGACTGAATATGTATTTATGATATCTGAAAAAAAATGTTTTCATTTTTGAAATAATACAAAAACTGACCAGTAATATTAGAGTGGGGCCTAGAGTGGGGAGTGGCATCACCATGACAACAGGCAACAGAAAGTGTCTATTTCACCCCACTGGAAATACAGATTTTAATTCAGAAATGAAAAAAATAAAATAAAATAAAATAAAATAGGAGACAGATTCCTTGCATTCT